AGGACAATTTTTTCCTGAAACCAAATTGTTTTTGGGAGAATAGGTTGACTCTAAGTGATGAATTGGTTAATAATTGATTCCATGACTTTGCATGCGACACAACACAATGAGATTGGACTTTAGTTTTCAATCAGGCTGGGATCACCTTTTTTGAAGATAGGGATGACCGTAGCTAAGAATCATAGGTTCCATAAGGAGCTGGTTCTGAATGATATCTCATATATAATGCTTAGGGATTCTGCTATGGCAGAGGAGAGCTTTTTTAAGCAGTATGCACATAATCCATCAGGGCCAATAGATAGGGATGGTTTTAAATTTCGTAATGCCTTTTCTATGTTATCTTCTGTAAAGTCAATATGTAGTAGGTCATTATAGTTAGTTGTGGTACGACTAGGAAATGTCGGGCATGAACCGTTGTTGTTTATAAAGACTGGACTGAATTGAGATTGACCTTAATGGCTTCATCATTGCAGTCTTTCGCATTTGGTCCTTTTAGGGGTGGAATGGTACTTGAGTCTTTTAAGTTTGGTGTTTACAAAATTGTAGAAGGTGCAGGTAGATTTTGTACATAGGTTTTCCTCTTACTTGCAGTAGTAATTTGTGCATTCTGCCTTTATCTGTTGGCATAAGGTGTTTTATTGGTTTTTTGTGGTGCTGTTTTTGATAGGTTGGACTATTTTTTCTCTTTGTGTAAAGACAGATGCAAAAAACAAGTTAAGTAATTCTGCTTTCTCCCTATTGCTTGTCACCTTCTTGACACTTTTTCCCAGCAATGGACCAATTGTTTCCTTGACTTTTTCCTTGTTTTTAACATGTTGGAAGAAGCTGTTTTTGTTATTTTTTACTTTTGTCACAAGCCTTTGTTTATTGTGAGCCTTAGCTTTCCTCACTTCATCTTTACAGGCTTGGACTATTTGACAATATTCTGTCTTAGTTATTTGCCCCTCTTTCCACTTTTTATACTTGTCCTTTTTGTCTTTCAATTTGTCAGAGAGTTCTTTATATAGCCATGCTGGTTTCTTTTGAGAGCTGTAATTTTCTTCTTCATTGGTATTGTGCTAGACTGAGCTTTTATAATCTCACTTTTCAAAATTTCCCAAGCTTCTTGGGTTGTTTTCCCCTTGAGGATTCTCATCCATGGAATCCTTCCTAAGGTCTCTCCAAGTTTATTGAAAATAGCTCTCTTAAAGTCTAAGGCTCTAGCTTGATCTTTTTCTACTACTTGGGCTTACATAATGTTGAATTCCAATATTGCATGATCACTTGCCCCCAAAGTTCCTGTAGCTTCAACACCTTCTATCATTTCATCTCTGTTAAAGAATAATCTTTATCTGTATAAGCAGAGATGTATTCTGCAAGCTTTAGTGCATTTTGCAAAAATCATTGTAGTAAATTGAATGCCACTGTAGCACTTCATTTCTCACCAAAATGCAATTTAATGGAGAGTAAAGTAAGATTTTACACTTAGGTAAGAATAAATCCAAATGCACAGATATAGAATAAGTGGTGCCTGGCTCAACTGGAAGTAACTGTGAGACAGATGTGTGAGATGGAAACTTATCAAACAGATCCAACCTAGAAATAAGAAGAAATATCCTGACAGTGAGAACAATTAATCAGAGGAATGCGGTTCCTTCAGAAGTTGTATACTATCTGTATACTATGACTGGAGAGTTTAAGTCTCATGCTTGAGCAGGGGTTGGATTAGAAGACCTCCATGGTCCCTTCCAACTCTCTTATTCTTTATAAATCTCTCTATTCAATCTTACTAAGAAAATTGTGAGTCTTCTGATAGCAAAATCTCGTCTCATTGGCTAGTATCAAGGGGAAGATGACTGTGAAAAAGCTTCCTCTCTCACCATAACATGCAAGACGAGGTGAGGAATGGCTGGGAGGGTAAGGGTAAGGAGAGGCTATGAGAGGCACCACTTGATGTGAGTGACATAGAATTGGCCAAGCCCACCCAGTCACATGACCACCCAGCCATGCCTACCTAGCAGTCATTAGAGCAGAGAACTGGTTGTTAAATTATTTTAATCCCACCACTGCTTTGAATGTATGACAACCAAGGGTTATTTATTTAATTACACAATGAACACAATAACAGGAAATTTGCTCTGTCACACAGTTGGGCTCCCTGGCTTGGCCACAATGTTTTCAAGGCCTTATACAAGGCAGCAAGATTGGGGTTGGCATGATCTCCAAGGGAGTGTGAGCAGGCTAAAGAGCAGAAGAGGGTCTTCTTCTGGGCCTTGCAAGTCATTGCCTTTTAGATAATGAAACTTGAAAAATATTCTTATTGCTGGGATGTGGATTCTATTATGGATAGAAACAACCAGGAAGAGACAGTCCCAAATCAGGAAGGGCTGAACCAGACTATTGGAATGCGATGTAGTCTCTTTGAAAATTTGCCTGGCTGATAATTTTCACAAATAATCTTGATATTGGAATGTATGAGTTATATGAGAAATATTCAAGTCTACAAGTTTTGAAACAGTCCAACTCAACACATAAGTGCATATAGGCACAAAATATGCCAACTAAAACACTAACATGCCAACTAAAGCACTAAATGAAACCAGAAAATAAAGTATTATTGATAAAGTAACAGGAAATAGGACATGAACTTCCATGACCAAGAACTACTCAAGGACAGCTAATCCCATCTTAATTCCTTTGGGAATTATGTTATTCTGTGACATTGTTAATGAAAATAAATTGGTCAGAGTCCAAATTTTAAAGTAAAAATAATAAAAATTTAGTTAAATCATGTCTGTGTTGATGAACAACAAAGGAGTATTCATCTCTTGCTCTTCTCACCCTCTCTTCTGCCCTGGGAATTTTTTGGAAGCAAGGAACTGAGACAGGTTATAGTATCTATCTGATTTTAACTTTTCTGATTACATTCGTTAGAAAAATTGTATTGACTAGCAAGGTGTACCTCTGATTAGTTGTGCTGAAATTGAGAAATGTACCAAGAGGACAACAAATTCAAATATGAGTTGTCAATACATGTAAACAATTGTTGTGATATACAGTGTAGTGATTATGCTCATTGGAGATAAAGATCACAACAAGAAGAAAAAACGTTCCCTGAGTTTTCATCTCCAAACATGTTCTCAGACTGCTTTTTTTCATTGTTGAGTTAGCAAAGTGATCACTGTGCTTATGTAAAGAAGGAGCAAAGAGCAAGAACCATATAAACCCTGATATTGCCTGAATATGTATTCTGTAATTTAAAAATAATGGTCCCAAAATACTGTGCCAAGAAAAGCTGAATGTCACATTCTATATATTATGAGTGGTTCATGTACCCGCATATATTAGCTCAATTTACTTAATTTACTTGATTTCTTCAGGCAGCATCAAGGAGAGAATCAAAGATTTGGGCAATGAAAAAATATATTTAAACAGATGAAATCATACTGATCCTCACCACTGCCTTTGGATGTTTTTTTTAAAATAGTCACATCTTTTAAAACTTATATTCACTTCACAGAACAAACACAGCAGCCTTCACCATGCTCATCTTCCTCCCCCTCCCTCCCCTTCTCCCCTCCCCCTATCTCTCTCTCTCCCTCTCTTTCTATTAATATTATAGGAGAAGAAAGAAATATGTAGAGAAAAAATAAAAATACTAAAACAAGTATTAACAAACTAGTAAATGTTCTACTCTTCCCTCCCATTTTACCCCAACTGATAGTTGCAATCAATAATTTGTAAGCATCTAGACTTGTTTATGATTTCTATTTATCACCTTTTGCCATTTTTTAAATCTGTCTTGGAAACCATACTTAAAATATTTGAACTTGCCCTATTGTGTAGTGAATTATATATTATGGAAGTAATTCTTGCTAAAATTATAGGAGCTGTGGTGGTGCACTGCAGTGATTAGAATAAAGAATTGCAGGTTAACTCCACTCACAACCAATTTGATCTTGACCAGTTTAAGACCGCGATTGTTTGGAACAATATGCTAATGTTATAAACTGCTGAGAGAGTGCTGGAGTGGTATATAAGTCCAAGTGCTATTGCTATTTAATTAAGCTGTGGATCCATACAATTAGTTTTATCATTGCTGTGTATACTTCAAGTTTGGTTTTTCAATCTGATATCTTTTCCAATGAATTTGTTCTTGTGGCCATCAACAAGTATCTTAATAAACTGTTTCTTGTTTATATATTCTAAAACAATTCCTAGAAAGGATATCTGAGGTTTCAATATGAGTCCCCCCACGACTCCTATATTTAAAAAGCCCACAATGTTGACCTTTATACATTTTACTTGGAGATTTCAATGAAGAGTCTTTTTGATACAGCTCAGCCACATAGTACTTCAGTTCAGGGCATGCTGAATTGCCCTCTTCATTGGCATTTGACAATTTTTTGGGAATGCATGCACCAAAGGCATTTCTACTAAAGAGAAATAATCTGATTTAATTATTAAAAACTAAATCTATTTAATTTCTAATAATTTAATTTCTAATGATTAATTTTTAATAAGCTATTAGAGGTGTCAAAACGTGAACCACATTTTTGTACTTTGAACAAACATCAAAATAAATTCTTTAGAATCAATCAGGAGGGATTGCATATCACAACCAAAATCACCTTACTGCATAAGGTTCATCCACTCCTTGATCATTTTCTCCAAATTTTATCAGATGACTTGCACTGTGTGATATGTTATGAAACAGGGAGAAAAAACTATTTTATCCATATTTTTTATTCTGGGAATCATTTAATAAACTTCCATAAATTAAACTTTTTTTTCATACTATTAAATGAATCCCACATGTACTTCCATTGTACATTAATAATATGGCCATTATCACATAAATAAAATATTATTGAATAATCTATCATTATTCAGTAATAGATGATTTATGGAATCAGAAAATAAATTACATTTATTACATTTACATTCAATCTGGATATAATTTTAGGGAATTTCAAGGAAGAAATAGTATAATTAAAATGCATGCATTACAAGTAACTTACCCAAACATTTCCATCTTGGTGATATGGCTTCCAATTTCTCCCTGTATCACTGTAAAGCATTCGGTACTGAGTTACCCAGTCAGAACTACTATATCTGCCTTGAGTAGCAATTGAGCTGATCTGTTTCCTATTGCCAAAATCCACTTGTAGCCACTGGTAATGGTTACTTTCTGATGGACACCAGCCTCCTGCACCTATAGAAATAAAGAAAGGTGATACTATTACATTTCTAATATGATTTTCATAGAAAGTGATTCTTTACTGAAATATATCTAAGTGTACACTCATTAGAACTTTCCACTTTTGTTTTCATTTTCAGTGTATAACTGAAGTACTGATGAACTTTGTAGCAGCAAAAGTCAACAATGGTAGGAAACAATGAATGCTCTGAGAGAGAAGGAGAGATACTCTCTGAGTATCAATCTGTTTTGTTTGTTAGTTTATATATCAATTCCTGAGTGGCATTCTGGTATGTCTGAGAAGAATCCTAAATGACAGCAGTTAGAGTTTCATTCCTGGTCCTTTACTGATAACTGTTCCATGGAGAAAGCTGTTTATAAATTGGAAATAGATATTTTTGCCACCCTAAGTCATATGGACAGCCTATGAAGTTGTGCATACTCTTTAAAACTTTGACATGAATGTGATATATCACAGAAGTTTAGCAGCTATTGCAGGATCATAGAGTTGTTTTTCCTTCTACAAGTAAATAATGATCAGCATGAAGAAAATTTATCTATGTGGTCATTAAAAATTGACAGCAACTTTATGGTATATAATTAATCAATAAATCAAAACTTCCTATGGTTTATTAAAAAAAGTAGTATCTAAAAAAATAAGATATAAGATTTAGCAAATTATTTTATTAATATTGTGGTTTCTCTTCGGATCGTATAATCTTTCGCATTTCTAAAAGTGGCCTGCTCAGTTTCTGCTTGGAGCAGAGAAACGAACTGATTTCTGCTTCCCTTAATATTTTTATGATTTTTCGTTTAGGAGAAATAGCAATAGTACTTATATACCACTTTACAGTCCTCTCTAAGTAGTTTATAATACCACTTAGAGCATATTGCCCCCAACAATCTGGATCCTCATTTTACCCACCTCAGAAGGATGGAAGGCTGAGTCAACCTTGATCCTGGTGAGATTCGAACTGCCAAACTGCTGGCAATTGGCAGTCAGCAGAAGTAGCCTACTGCATTCTAACCACTACATCACCATAGCTCATATTAAATCCTGCCTTTTTTAATATTTGCCAAAATTTTCATTCTTTGGACGGGGGTTTCCCACAGCTTACAATTAAAATAGGGTTTAAGATTTTTCCCTAGTCACTTTATATATCCTGATGATATTTAAATTGGCTTTGTATCTAATTGTCCTTTCACTTAAAGAATTTCTTCTCTTTAAAGGAAAAAGTGTTCCTCTTTGGTATATTAAATTTCAGTCTTTTTTATTTAAATAAGAATATTGAGACTATTTATGCCTTCTAAATGTGAATTTGCTTAGAGATGATTTGATATATGGGATGATAACAATATTATTGTTAGGACTCTGTTTGGACTTTTGGCTGACAGTGGATGGAAAAAGACATAACTTTTAGATTTGTCTATAGTTGATAGCTTAGTTATAGGATAAAGAATTTAATATTTGTTATTTAAGAGGAGGGAAGAGATAGTGAAATTATTTATGTCTATTATGATGAGGGTAGAAAGCTCTTACGTTTTTTTCTTGATCTTCATGTTTTTTAATTGAATCTTTTATTTTCTTTTTCAGTTTGCATTATTTTTTACTGTTATAATTAAAACTTTTAACTTTTTTTTAAAAAAGAATATCATCTATTTAAATGACCACAGCAGAGAAAATTCAGTTGCAATTATATTGTGGTACCTGTCAACCCACACTTACTCTTTTCTTCCATTGAACATATCTTTTCATTTTTTTATAATAATCATATGTCATTTATGATTTTAATTTAATTGTACTGAAAGGGACTATCATGAGTAAGAACCAAGCAACTTTATGGACATTTAATGGCATCTTCTTGGTAACTGTTAAATTATAATCATTTTAAAGTTTGACCAAATTATCCAGAACATCTCTTGTCAGAGTTTGGCAGCATGACAATGTCAGCTGATTGATTCTTTACTGATTTATTAAGCCACAATTTCAAATTAAGTGGGAGGGAATAACAGCACCCACATCTGTACTCTCCAAAGCACTATAGAATTTATTAAAATATATAAGCTTCAAAAATGTTATCACAGACCACTTATAGTACATGTCCTATTGCTTGATCAATGTTTTATATTCTGGTTTCATCAGAAATGAAACTATCACCATATTATTTTTTGAAGCTGTTTTGTCCATTCCAAGAAAATTGTCCTACGCTATGCATGAGCAAACATTTCAGCTATGGATTGGGATCAAGATATATGGAAAAAAAACCTTCCCAACAACAGCATCTTCATACCCCACAAACGATGGAGACTCTTCACAAAACAGGTTAAGCAGAAATCTGTGGAGTACAATCCAAAATATTGAGCAGAGTCACTCTTCCTCTTTCCATTAGTGGTATAATAATAGTAGTTAGTTGAAAAACTGACTTTATCAGGAATAGCTTGATAATTTTTCAGCGATTAATTCAATTCACATCTATTTATTGTGATCAAATATCAGTATAGATAACTAACAAATAAAATTTAAGAGAGAACTAAAATACGATTGTAAAATAACCTTACTAACATCTAGCAGTGAGATTCAGGAGATGGCCTTTATTAAATTATAATATAAACACCATGATTATATTAAATATGTAACATCTAAAATTACAACATATATGACTACAATTCTCACTCATCCAGGGCATGGTTACCCCAAAGAGGCTTTTTTAAAAAGCAACTGAACTATCTTTGTTTTTTTCTCTCTTGAAGACTTTTAACTTTTCACCCAAGAAGCATTTTCTATTCTGACTGAATGGTGGGGAGTGAAACAACAGATGACTGAAAGAAATAGAAATCCTTTCATTCCCTACCATTCAATCAGAACTGAAAATGCTTCTTGGATTAGAAGCAAAACCTCTTCAAGAGAAATAAATAAATAAAGTCCAACTGCCTTTTGAAAAATCACCTCTGAGATAAAGTAAAGGTATCAACAATTATTAATAGCAGTGGAGTAAAAATATTTATATTGGCCCAGAAGATACTGGATCTTCTCTGCTACTGTACAAAACATAGCTAAATGTGCTGTAACTCTATGAGCGTGGCAGGCACAGTGATAGCAGGAGTGTAAAAATGAGAAGCTCCTAACTGCTGCTTTCCCTCTGTGTCAGGGTAATGATGATTTAATAGCTGACAAACTGCTGTGATGTTGTAATACTGAAATGCTGTAATGATGATGTAATGGTAGTAATGAGTCAGCAGGATGATAGAATAGAATAGAATAGAATAGAATAGAATAGAATGAAAGAATAGAATAGAATAGAATAGAATAGAATAGAATAGAATAGAATAGAATAGAATAGAAAGAGACCTTGGAAGTCTTCTAGCATTTGACTGCTACCTCTTTAAGAGGCTGTATTATAAGAGAGGCTCTGTGAGGGTATAACTCTCTCTCCGTGTGTGCTTCCATGCTGTAAATTATTGATTGCTATTTGTTAAGACTTGTCAAAAAGTACTTGTATGTATATATGCTTTTGTAGGGATAAAATCACTATATGTAAATACAAACCTGTGCACTCTATTTGCTCCTGGACTGTCTCACTTAGTCATACTGCATGCACTCTGACACTCTGTCCACCCTGATTGCCACTACTGCCATTCCTGGCTTCTTCTGCTCATAGCCCTGTGCAGTGGTGGCTGGGCCAAGGGAAGTGTGGAAATGGGAAGTCTCTTTATGCTACCACTTCCTGCTACCCGCCTGAATATGTTCTGCACTTTGTCCATCCTCTCGCTCACCCTCCAGCTGCCATGAGTTGTCCTCTCAGTGAGTTGACCATGTGTAGTTGTTCTGCAGTGACTTGGTGGTGGTGATTTTGCAGAGGTGAGTTGGTAGTGGTGAACTGCCTTAGACCCATTTAGACAGCTGCTCTGATGAATTTAGGTTGTACCCTTTCAAGAGAGGTGAAAAACAAAGCTGGGAGGACACAACTAGAGTCCCATAAGGAAGCAGAAAGAGAGGCTTAGCCTGAAAGAGGTCTGGAACATAACATCCTCTCTTGGATCAGAAAAAAATAAGGATGATATTGGCAAATCTTTGTCCAATAACAGCAGAGTATTCACAGGGGTTTTTCCTCAAGTCAATGATATGCATGACTACTCCTAAATACTATATTTATGAATGTACCTATTTTTATTTTAAATAAATAATAACAACCAATTAATCAAAAGTGACAACTTTTCACTGGCAATGCAAGCTTTACAAAAATTCCTTTCCCTTTCAAATCAATTTTATAATAATACCTTTTTATTATTAAGGGGAAATCTTATTTTAACACTTTCTAAATATTTATACAGACTTTAAATCAGGAGATGGCTCAACCTCTTTATGTGATGGATTCTTTTGAGAGAATTCTGTACAGTATATTCCAATTATATTCAAATGCAATTATTAAAATATTAAAAACAATAACAAATATATGTGTGAAAATAAAGTTGCAACTTTTTTCAATCCAAAATATGTTCCCACTAAAATCTGTTCATAGATCCTCAAAGTTAAACATTCCTGCTGTAAATTAAACATTGAATTTATCCCTGAGTTGCTACTTTATTTATCTGAGTAATTCTGTTCATATCAATAATTTAAAGTATTTTAATTTTCTAAATTGTTTCTAACTGCATTTTTTTTATTCCAATCACTAGTTTATGTACATATATGTACATCTATGTACATATAATGTGATTGGATAGGGAGATTGTTTATAAACCCATATATTTGAGGGAGTATCTGTGATTGACAAAAGCTTATGTGATAACTGCTTTGTTACATTTTAGGAGTCAGTTTCCTTCCAGGTAACATGATAGCATCTTTTTAATTATTAAAATATCAAAGTGCGTTGAGCTTCTTAAATACAAAATCTAGGGGCATAGAACATAATATTTTCTTTCAGAAATAGTCTCTGTCAACACTGTCTTTATTTTACCATACCATGGTATTGTATGGTCTATGCTTCATTTTATTATTAGGGATATGAAAATAAAACCAATATACTGTTATGTATATGTAAATAATGTAGTTGGGTTGACAATATATAAACTACAAATATATATGTTTGTACCTTTAAGAGGGAGTTATAGATCATGGTTTAATTCTGTTTCTCTTTTTCACTGATGATCTCTCTTGATACTGATACTGACTGACTATGGACCAATACTGACTAACCCTGTTTATTTTGATATTCTGTTGATATTGAAGGTTATTTGTTGTATTATGATTTGATATTTGTCTGCTGTAAACCACATGGAACCAATAGGAAGACTTTCTAACTAGATGTAAGAAGACTTTATAACTGAATATTTCTGGACTGTTAAAAACATGTATGACATCAACTGTTTATTGGACTGTGCTATTTCTTCAAGTAAACATTAATACAACTTGTTCAACTCTGTGTGGCTGTATATTTCTTCATAACTGTTCTCATAAATCATTTTGCATGTGCATATCCTTTTTATACAAGGGTTACTCTGCACATATCCTAACATTGGTTATGGGCCCATTGAGATATTGAGAACCAGTGTGAATATACAGTTTCATATTTAGACAGCTAATTGTGGTTTATTGATACAATGGCACAAGAACAGTCAACCAGTCTATCCTTAATAACCTGGTTGAATGGAACAAACTATATTTCCTGGTCTATGAAGTGCAGCCTACTTCTGCGTAAAGAAGGATTATGGACTGTAGTGAATAATCCACCGGATATAACAACTTTGCATCCATCGAATGATGAAGATAAAAAGAAAATAGCTGAATTTAACCTGGCTAATGAAAAGGTTCTTAGTATAATTGGACTGACACTGAGTGATCAGCAGCTAGTCCATATTTGTGGCCAAGAATCTGCTGCTAGATGTTGGGACATTCTGAAGAAGATTTATGTTCAAGATAGTGTGGGTACACACATATACTTTACACGTAAACTGTTTCAAGCTCGTCTTATAAAAGGTGGCAATATGTTAGCTCATTTGGAGTTTATGAAAAGGACTTCTCAGAAGCTACAAGAAAAAGAACTGATTTTTTCTGAGTTGCATCAGGTTTACATTATTCCTTTTTCTTTGAAATTTATGATGATTATGTGTCTTCACTGGAAGTTTTAAACAGAGATGAACTTACATTGACTGGAATAACTGGAAGACTGTTGGAAGAGTCAAGAAGAAGGCAAGATAGAATTCAACTGAGAGAAAGACAACCACAGGAAGAAAAACTATCTTCAATTGCCTATATCATTAGGAAATGTTTTTCTTGTGGGGCTAAAGGACATATAGCCAGATACTGTAAAAAGAGTAAGAAACAGAATAATATACAGAAAGCTCATAAGAATGTTAGTTTAGCAATATCAAATATAACTACAAATGTAAACCATGATATATGGGTAGTTGATAGTGGAGCATCGCAGTGTATAACTAAAAGTAAAGAGAGATTTGTTAACGTGAGAAAGAGTGAACAGCATATATCATTAGCTAATGGATGGAAAATGAAAGTATATGGAGAAGGTACTGCATATTGTTCATGTATAAATGAAAGTTTACCGATGTTATATGCACCTGGAAAGAAGTTTAATTTGCTATCTGTAAGAGAAATGGAAAAAGCAGGATTTGTAGTAACATTTAAGGGAGATACATGTTTAATAGACAAACAAGGTAAAAGTATTACTGCGAGATTGGAAAATGGTTTGTTTATTATAAATGATGATCCATCAAGTAATGT